AAAACGCATAATCAACGACACTATCTGAAGCAGTTTGTTAGCAAAATGCATGCATGGATAAGCTAAATTTAGCATTGCCTACCACTTACATAATCATCGTTGCTAACATATCTAATATGCAGATTTCATCAAAAGGGAGGAGAGGGGTTTGGGATGCAGCGTTCTCTCTTTTTTTTTTAGAGAGATGCCAGCTTAAGCTGCAAAATTCGGAAATGCGTGCAACATCAAGAACCCTGTTGCTCATGTGTGAGGAATATAAAAGTCTTGATTCAGAATGTATTGTCTAAATACTTCTATACTTGACTTTTGAATGTTTTTTGCTTACAAAAATCGCTGGGCCTTCCAGCTTCGTACGGTATAATAGTGAGCTTCTCATAATAACGTTTGGACTGATAATATAAATATCAGTTAGGTACGGAGCAGCAGATTGCCAATAACCCTTTGTGCCTTTTCACAGGCAGTTGCAATAACTCGACTATGCTTGGCCGGCATCGCAAATGATCTGCGAAAAGTGTTTTCTGCCAATGGTTGGTAGTACAGCCCCACAGCGGGTGGTGGGAGTTTGAACGTAACAAATAGGAATGTGAGGGATATGTTGCGGGTTTTTGTTTGAGGCATGGTGAAGGGGGCTGGGACAGGTGGATTTAATGATTACATGGCGTAGATCATTATCTGTTGGCTAGACTGCATACATTTAGGGGGAAAAGGGGGAGGAGTGATGGATAGAAAGGATAAAGAACACAGAAACTTCAGCATACAAGTACTGCAGCAATGTTGTTTATATAATGTACATAGTACATATACGGAAGCGATGTTGTCGTTAAATTGTCGGCATCTTACACAGAGGACACAATAGAACGTATATAATGTACCCACAGAACCATGAAAACATCATTTACAGCGATTTCTGTCATGTAATGCACATATGTTGCTTGTATATAGTACACAGCTCACGCGCTGAAGCTATAGTGGGGCTATGTTGTTGGCATATTGTACAGATCGAAATATAAAGTCGTTAGCGACAAAAATCTGCGGGGAACTATGCAGAAACGCATCCTCGCATGGCAGTTAGTGCTCTGGCCATTTACTTAATTCTCATTTTCACCTCATATTGTTTGGAATACTGTTTCTGATCAAAAATTTGAGATCTTTTTGGACAAAAGTTCCTTTAATTTTTTCCCCTTGCGGTAACAACTGTTTTCTCTTTTGTGTGGCATTTCTGTTGTATTTTTAAGTGATTGTGCAAATGCTATTTGAAAATCAATTACTTGGACGGTTGGACAAATTTTGAATGAAATCTGTTTAAAATAAATTTTTTATAAAAACCATGCTTAATGCACCTCACCTTGCAGCAGACGTATGCGGAAGGGAGGGAGGAAAGGAGGATAACGAAAGAAATGAAAACACAACATCACAAAAAACAATTCCTCGGTTAAATGCAGACTGCAAGTAGCACGTAGAATGAAACCAACTGGCTGGTTAAACCAGTTCGTATAACGTACAGGATCTGCAGTATACCAGCACTGCTAAATAGCCGATCTTATACAGAATTTCGGCATAAACATCAGATATCCTATACAGTAAATTGGGACATCCTGGAGGTATTCTATGCAGAAATATCACATGTACAATACAGAATTTTGAGGCATCCTATACGGTTGATTCTGTATATTGTACACAGTTTATCGATATAAAGTATAGATGGTTTCACATTCGCCAGCTATCCTGTACAGGAGATCTCACGTATCGCTGCTATCCTGCGCACAAAAGTGGGCACCGGTACATGTACAACATAGCTCCAGTACATATACTCAGATGTTTACGTGATGTTAGTTTTCGTGCACATTCATTCGCTGTCTTGTACACATAATCTCCACAATCTCCGCAACCTATCCACAAAAGTGGGGCACTGTTACACGCACAACATAGTTCCAGTACATGTATACTAAAGTTTCTATGAAGTGTGCTCCTGGTTTTTTTTTTTTTGGGTAATGAAAGGTGAAGTGCTGCTTGCTTGTACAGTGCTCTTATAGTGGGATGGAAAGGAACCCAGATTTTGCTTTACGAGTAGGGTTTGGAAGCAGCGTAGAGAAGGAGACGGGAACACAAGTCAGGAGCTGGAAGCAAGAACTGGAGACAGCAGTAAAGGGAAAGAGACAACACAGTGCCACAGAAAAAAGTAAATTAATGCAAATCTGACTCTAGAAATAAAAGCAAAAATGTGGGCCTTTGTTAGTGGAAATTGTTTTACAAAAACCCGTCGTCAGTGCTGGGGTTCCCTATTTATGG